CTGCTGCAGGCAGGAGGAAGCATTTCCTCAGTCTCCTCTCCCCAGTGATCAGTAGTCTGCAGGCAGAAGGAAGAATTTCCTCAGTCTCCCCTCCCCCAGTGATCAGTCTGCTGCAGGCCGGAGGAAGCATTTCCTCAGTCTCCCCTCCCCCAGTGATCAGTCTGCTGCAGGCCGGAGGAAGCATTTGCTGATCCCGGATGTATTACATGTATGTTTTTTTTACCTGTAAACACCTCCCTTATGTAGACATCCAGACATTTTGAATGTGATGTCAACAGACTCTGAGTTCTCACACAAGTCACATTCTATTGCAGGTGTAGCCAAAGCTTTGCCCCCCCCCCCCCCCAGCTGTGTTGAAGCTACAAATCCCATCACACTTCTGCCTCTGGGAGTCATGCCTGGGGCTGTCAGAGTATTGCAATGCCTTATGGGACTTGTAGTTCCACAACAGCTGGAGGGCTGACGTTTGGATACCCCTGCTCTATATCATTGCCCTTTACTTCTCTCCTGGCAGCCTCATACAAGGTTATTGAGGGAGGGGAGGGAGAAAGAAGCTGGGCCAGCACAGACAGTAATGAGACACTCCCAGAAGAGGAGAGGGCTGTGACGTGTAAGGGGGGAGGGGGTTGGGCTAGGGAATTGACTCTTCCTCGATGTCATATTTGGTAGCGTGTTCAGAGGCATATTGTATGTGAATACAAATAATAGTGACCCCGGCGTGTAAATTCTGTTCTTTGTTCTGCATTCGTATCATTTGGTGACAGGTTCTCTTTATTGTTCAGCACCAATGTACAGGAATTTCGCTCGCTGCGGCCGGTGCGTCAGTCGCTGTTCTCGGACGCTGATATCCCGCTGCTATCTCTGCCAATGGCTGCCAGCGGTCAGATCTTTGGCGCCACTAATGGTGATCGGCGAGATGATCAGAATTGGTTGATGACCGCAGTTTGATCCGGCGTCCTCTCCGTGAAATGCCGCGACGTCGTTTCCGGTTCGGTCGCGGTCTCGGCGCTCCTCGGAATTGCTGCCATTTGTATTTTCTGCCTCCAGACATTGGAATTGCATTTTAAACGTGCAGATGGCGGGTCAGAGATTGTGCGCGAGCGCCGCCACTGATCCATCATGGCTGCCGTTGTTGGCGTGCGGACTCTGCGTTGACCTTTTACTTCCTGCGTTCCTCGGGGGTGTTTGGAGATGACGTTTTAGTCTCGGGGAACTTTCTCTCTCGTTGGTTTTTGTGCCCGGGGTCACACGCACACCCCCACCTGACTGCCCTGGTGGGGGGAAGGGGGAGGGGGGAGGCAGCGGCTTGCGTCCCTGTTGACCGCACGCACTTTCCTGTCGAAATGCCATTCGCTCGTGGCAAGTTGGCAACGCCGGCGGTTGGAATCGCGCATGAAATCAGCTGAATGTTAATAGATTTCCTCTGAAAATGGAGTGATTGCATTATATCGTTATTAAGGGCGATAATGTGAGACGCGGCGTGAATTCTCCGACCCGGGTTCATTGTATGGAGGGTGATACGCCCACTACGGCAGACCGCGGGGGAGGGGGAGGTGTAATGACACCCAGTGGTTGACGCAGCAACCATCAAGTCAGATAGAGCCCCCACAATTTTCTGACTGGAGGACATCCAGCATCATCTAGAACTTTCCTCCCCAGCCTGACTGTCCCTGGCCCCACCCATTTAAATCATGGAGGCTCAGCATCACATGTGGGCATTACCTATACAAATACAGCCTGCCTAGGGCCGGGGTATTTGAAGGTAGTAATAGGAGAGGAGGCGGGGTATTAGAATGTGGTAATAGAAGAGGAGGTGGGGCATTAGAAGGTGGTAATAGGAGAGGAGGCGGGGTATTAAAAGGTAGTAATAGGAGAGTAGGTGGGGTATTAGAAGGTGGTAATAGGAGAGTTCCACCAGCTATAAAGGACTACAAATCCCAGCAATAGTACATTATACAGCGCAATGCAGAATACCGCCAGCTATATTGTACTATTGCTGGGATTTGTTGTACTCCTCAATAGTTGGTTATATTCTGCATTGCGCTGTATAATGTACTATAGCTGGGATTTGTAGTTCTCTATAGCCGGTGCCATTTTGCATTCATTGCTGTATAATTTTACACTTTCAATAGGAGAGGAGGCGGGGTTATAGAAGGTGGTAGGAGAGGAGGTGGGGTTATAGAAAGTGGCAGTAGGAGAGGAGGCGGGGTATTAGACAGTGGTAGAAGGAGAGGAGGCGGGGTATTAGAAGTAGGTAATAGGAGAGGAGGCGGGGTATTAGAAGGTGGTAGTAGGAGAGGAGGTGGGGTTATAGAAGGTGGTAGTAGGAGAGGAGGCGGGGTTATAGCAGGTGGTAGTAGTAGGAGAGGAGGTGGGGTTATAGAAGGTGGCAGTAGGAGAGGAGGCGGGGTATTAGACAGGGGTAGTAGGAGAGGAGGCGGGGTATTAGAAGGAGGTAATAGGAGAGGAGGCGGGGTATTAGAAGGTGGTAATAGGAGAAAGAGGAGGGGTATTAGAAGGAGGTAATAGCAGAGGAGGCGGGGTATTAGAAGGTAGTAGTAGGAGAGGAGGTGGGGTTATAGAAGGTAGTAGTAGGAGAGGAGGCGGGGTTATAGAAGGTGATAGTAGGAGAGGAGGTGGGGTTATAGAAGGTGGTAGTAGGAGAGGAGGTGGGGTTATAGAAGGTGGTAGTAGGAGAGGAGGTGGGGTTATAGAAGGTGGTAGTAGGAGAGGAGGCGGGGTTATAGAAGGTGGTAGTAGGAGAGGAGGCGGGGTATTAGAAGGTGGTAGTAGGAGAGGAGGCGGGGTATTAGAAGGTAGTAGTAAGAGAGGAGGTGGGGTTATAGAAGGTGGCAGTAGGAGAGGAGGCGGGGTATTAGAAGGAGGTAGTAGGAGAGGAGGCAGGGTATTAGAAGGAGGTAATAGGAGAGGAGGTGGGGTTATAGAAGGTGGTAGTAAGAGAGGAGGTGGGGTTATAGAAGGTGGCAGTAGGAGAGGAGGCGGGGTATTAGACAGTGGTAGAAGGAGAGGAGGCGGGGTATTAGACAGTGGTAGAAGGAGAGGAGGCGGGGTATTAGACAGTGGTAATAGGAGAGGAGGCGGGGTATTAGAAGGAGGTAATAGGAGAGGAGGTGGGGTTATAGAAGGTGGTAGTTGGAGAGGAGGTGGGGTTATAGAAGGTGGTAGTAGGAGAGGAGGCGGGGTATTAGAAGGTGGTAGTAGGAGAGGAGGCGGGGTATTAGAAGGTGGTAATAGGAGAGGAGGCGGGGTATTAGAAGGTAGTAGTAGGAGAGGAGGTGGCGTTATAGAAGGTAGTAGTAGGAGAGGAGGCGGGGTTATAGAAGGTGATAGTAGGAGAGGAGGTGGGGTTATAGAAGGTGGTAGTAGGAGAGGAGGTGGGGTTATAGAAGGTGGTAGTAGGAGAGGAGGCGGGGTTATAGAAGGTGATAGTAGGAGAGGAGGCGGGGTATTAGAAGGTGGTAGTAGGAGAGTAAATGGGGTATTAGAAGGTGGTAGTAGGAGAGGAGGTGGGCTTTATAGAAGGTGGTAATATGAGAAGGAGGCGGGGTTATAGAAGGTGGTAATATGAGAAGGAGGCGGGGTTATAGAAGGTGGTAATGGTAGTGGTGTACATATATTTATCTGTATATAGTAATAATCGATACATTGCATCATTCCCTCCCTTTCTTGTCTCTCTATCACATACAGTTTGTACTGCGCCTCACCTATAGTGAGCCTCATATCACACAGATCTCACACCATTCATCATTGCTGAGCTGCGCCGCGGTGTCTGTGTTCATGTATCTGATGTTCTCGCCATTTATCTTTTCTTCCAGCTGTGATTACTTATTCATCAATTTATATCTCATGTTCTGCAGCCCCGGGGCGGAGAATTAAACAAATATATTACCCCGGAAAGGGCAGAAGCGGCCGGGGGCTCGGTGCCCTTTACCACCGCAACTGACCCATTTATTAAACTCGCTGGAAACCTTTATTGATTTTCCTCATATTTGTAGCTGACACAAGTCTATATATTACATGACCTTTCCGTTCCATTTACTCTTCCCTGTACCGCCTTGTAGAGGAGAATGAGAGAGAGCGCGTTCCCAGGCCCCGCCCACAGCGCTCTCCCAGAACATTCCCTTTACTTTATTACATACTTTATTCACAGCCGAGATCTCCTCCGATACAAGAAAATACAGAATACAGAAGAAATAGTTATGTGTAAAGTGATGAGATACATTGTATCCGTGTTCCTGTAATATGTCAGACGGGCCAATCGTCTTATTTATAGCCGAGAGTTCCTCTGTATCTCCTCTCTCTCTCCCTTCTCTCTCTCTCTCCCTTCTCTCTCTCTCCCCCTCCCTCCTCTATCTCTAATATATATATCTGTCTATAAAATATGATTATTCTTTTTTGTTTTATTTTTGGTCTTTCAGGATGATACTGAAGGAGAGCGGACTGTCGCGGTACCTGCACTCGGCGGTTGTCATCAGCGGCGCCATGTTGGTATTTGGTGGAAACACTCACAATGACACATCACTCAGTAACGGCGCCAAATGCTTCTCAGCGGACTTCCTGGCTTACGACATCGGTGAGTCTGTGTCCCTGGGAAAGAGAGTAACGGGCAATCCAAACCGCAGAGAGATATGCTCCCGGTACAGGCAGAGAGAGCGCACAGACTGCGCAGCGCAGCGTTCAAACCAGCCAATGAGAGCGGCAATGTCTGATGTGTCCTGGGAATGATCCGGGATGTAGGGATGTCACCATTGGGGGTACTGTAGCCATGCTGTGCGTGGGGGGAGGGGGGGGATAGGGTGTGCAGGTATGACAGTGGCATCGTACATTTATAACTACTGGGGCCCCTTATCTGCACGGGCCAGGTTCTCTTTTTTCTTTTATTGGTTTTTAAAGTGGGGTGGAGGTGGACAGTTTCTGTTAAAGGGGAACTCAGCCTTTCATTTCACTCTAATTTCCTCCTCCACCGTTAGACGCACAATTAGCAGCGCCATCTCTGCGAGCGTTTGCTCTGTGCCAATAGATACAAATATGTAGGCTTTTTATATATGTATATACACCGAGTGGCCGGATTATTATATACACCGAGTGGCCGGATTATTATATACACCGAGTGGCCGGATTATTATATACACTGAGTGGCCGGATTATTATATACACCGAGTGGCCGGATTATTATAACCACCTGACGTTTGTAGGCAAATTAGCTATAATTTGGCGCTGAAGTTGCTAGAGGGCCAGACCATTATAAATAGGGAAGCAGGTTGGTTACCACGACAGTAGAAGTGATTTGTTTCTGAAGATTCGGGGAAACAACGCGATGTAACAGCCTTGGAACGCGGGATGATTGTTGGCGCTCGGAGCCATGGAGCGAGTATCAGCAACACAGCAGAATGCGTTACATGTTCAGGAGCGGCTCATTGTTAAAGTGTTTAAAGACCGGACTGTCAGCCGAACATCTGGGTCTGAGCGTGCGAATTGTGGCCGTCAGCGACTAGTCAATGTTAGGGCAGAACGGGGGAGGGGCAAGACTGGTACAAGACACCAGAAGGGCCACAGTGCCGCGTCAGATTCCTCGCATCACCTTTCACCATCTCGTGGAGTTTTCTCGTGGCCTAACGAAGTACTGATGGGGGGGGGGTCATAATAATCTGGCCACTCAGTGTATATATATATAATTTTCAGGTTGAATATATGTAATTCCATATTATGGCCACTAGATGGAGCTGAGATGCTTAGGAAAGTCGTTTTTCCCCCGATGCTCCTCAGCTCCATCTAGTGGCCATAATGCGGTATTATATTTAACCTGAAAAGAAAATACAATGTTATTATTTCGGAGCCGATGTTGTATGTTTTGTTTGCTGCACACTATGGCGCTATATAGGATTATGCACAAAAGGATACTTTTTGTATTATGTTTTTTTTTTTTTGTTTGATCTGCACATGGAGGCGCTCTTTATTACTTTTTATTACAGTTTGTTAGCTGATTTGCCACTTTGTATGGCAGCTGCGCCTGTTTGATATGTTTGAGCACAACGTTTCACTTCCTATAGAAGGCAGAGAACATTGGAGGACAATAATGTATAACTCGGATTTTCACGTAGTCGCTCACACTGTGAAGGAGCGCTAATGCTGGGCTGTGGAAGTCGTTTTTTTTTATGCTCGTTCCGCCAACAAAAGATTTCTTTATTATTTTTCCTTTTTGTAAACTTTCTTTTCTTCGCGCATTTTGATTTTTTGCCGGCGTGTATTTCCCGTGACAGGTGCTCATTATCCACAAGAAGTAACAATTTACTGTTCGGCTCCTGAGTGAAACTCTCTGTATAGTTCGCCGTGTGATGGAGCTAAATGGAGACCCAACTGGGTGCCGAGGAAAAGGAGAAAATACGCGCGCGAGGATTTGTTGTTCCCGCAAAGGGAACCTGTCATTTACCTGCCACCAAATCTGTTTTACATTTTCAGCTGTTTAATTTGCACGTTGAGTTGACCATTGCGCACGGCTGCCGGTCAGATCTCCTCCTTATAGGTGTCGGTTCAGATATTGGAGACAGTTCTGGCAATATTGCGGTTTTCATTGTATCACCTACTGTAGAGTAGCTCCTCCTACTGAAGGAGAATTCGTGTTTTATCTTTAATCTTGTGCGGTGATGGGTTGTCGGGGTCCTCTTGGGGGGATGTTGATAGACCTACCCTCATCCTGCATTGAAAGCTTCTTCCATTCCGCTCATCTCTTCCTGAGCAGCTACCATTTGACTTTTGTATCTTTAGTACATGTCAGAGGTCATGTGTAGAATTACCGAGCTCACATCGGACTTCAAGGATACAGTTAACAATAACTAACGATGATGAGTTTCTTCGGCTTTGAATTTGCTGCAGATTTGTTTTCCTTTGAAGCCGAATTCCAGGTTTAGTTTGTGTTACATTATCCCATTAGCAATGGAAACATTGCTAACAAGCAAATATTGTTCAGCACTAACTAGAGCTGCAACAACTAATCGACTAATTCGATAATAATCGATGATGAGAATAGTTGGCAACTAATCTCATCATCGGTTGGTTGGAGGGGTGGGAGAGATTTTTTATACAACCAATCGATTAGTTTAAAAAATAATCGGGTAACCGATTATGAAAATAATCGTTAGCTGTTCAGCTGTTTTCCCTGAATTCAACTTAATTTAGGGACAACCCACCTCCACCAACCCCCCTCAGCCCTCTCCCCCAGGCCTCAGTACCCCCCTTCCTCAATAAAATGTAAAAACGCTCAATATACATATGTTACATTCGGGGTCTCTCAAGATGGTCACATGACAAGTGGGGTCCCTTCCTCTTCTCAATCCTGCAGAGGAGAGAGCTCACACGCCGTGATATGTAACTGCTGTTCTCATGTGAGCAGCATGACAATGTCATGGTCTCTCCATGGCCCATCACAGCCCTCGGTGTCCTCCCCGTCCGCTGATGGCCAGACCTATTTCAGGAGGAATGAGTCCTGCATCACTAACCCACTTCCTGTGAGCCCAGGCTGCCGGGGACACACCCCCTGGGGGGGGGGGACA